CTGCCTCCCATTTTCTCTATCTGAACTACATTTTTCAACCTGTCAAATCCCTTTCTGTTTTTCTTTTTCGTTTATGTTCTATTCTGTTTAGCCTGTTATCGATTTACCCATTCTCCTTTTTTTTCTTCTAGTTTTTAACTCTTGTTATTCGAAGTTTGACTTCATGCCGTCTTTATTTTACCCTTTATCTTTCTAGCCAGTGTGTTTTCCATATGTCATTTAATTCAACTTTACCTTATTTTCTCATTTATATCACGCTAGCCTTTCCTTCCCTCTAAATCTAGCATTTCCTTCCCCCTGATTCATTTTAATCTCTGTTAACTGTATCTCTTATTTCACCTCTCCATTTTCTCTTTTCTTTTCTTTTTTTTTTTCTTTCTTTTAATTCTTGACGTGGTGTGTCCATGTTACCTTTCATTTAACTTTTCATTTCCTTAGATTTGCATCCTTATATGCGACCTTTATATTTTACCTCATTCATTCATTCAACCATATACTTCTTTATCTTAATATTGTATTACTCTATTCACTGTCTCAACCACATCTTTCATTTAACCTTTCATTTTTACTCATTTTACTCATGCCACCAATTTGCCATTCATACCCATTGTATAACATTTAGGTTCTCATGCCTTATGCCTTATTCTATACATTCTCTCTTCCATACCTTTCACTCAATCCTTCATTTCCTTCTTTTTCCTTTGCTCTATCCAGTATCATTCATACCCTTCACTCAATTTTCCATATTTTCATGTTACCCTTCCCCTTAATTTTCCATTGTCATTTAACTTTTAATATACGAATTATTTCCCTCATGCCGTTTACGCAACTTACTAGTTTACATTACTCTGACATTACTCTAACCGCTCTGTGACCCACATCTATTTGACGTTATTCTTTAAATATCACCAGCACCTTTTACTTTACTTTCCATGCTCTTTTTCTCCATACTCTACTCATTGCAACATCCATCCCTTTCACCTTCAGTGTATTGTTTGTGTCTTCCATTTACCCTTTAATTTTCTTATTCAACGTTGCTCTACCCAGTGTGTCATCCATACCAGTAAAAAAAAAAAAAAAAAAAAAAAAAAAAAAAATCATTTCATTTAGCTTTTTTCTTTCTTTCTTTCTTTCTTTTTTATGTCATTCTACCCAACATGTCATCGATATTTTTAATTTAATCTTTCATTTTCATGTTTGTTTTCTAAATCACTGCCCATTGTGTCATCCATGCATTTAACTCTTCATTTTCCTAGATTTTCCTTACTTAACCCCGAGTGTCACTATGCCTTTCACTTCTTCCATCTATACCTTTCATTTAAGCTTTCTTGATTTCTTACTATTACCCATTTCGCTTAATCTTTCGTTTTAATTTCCATACCTTATTTTATTCGCTCTCTCTTCCATACCTTTCACTTCATCATTCAATTTCTTCATGTTCCCTTACTACCTCTAGTATCATGCATTCCTTTCACTCAATCTTCCATATTTTCCTTTGCTTTACTTAGTATGTTACTTCATTTTCCAGTTTCTTAGATTTACATTTCTTTAACCAATGTGTCCGCCATACCTTTCGTTTAACCTCTCCTTTATATATTATTCCCCTTTTCTATTTTACATTTTTTTTTATTTTACATTAAGTAATATGTGACCAATTTCTTATTTTGACGTTACTCTATAAAATGTCACCCACACCTTTTACTTTACTTTTCAAGTTTGTTTATTTGTTTTTCATACTCTATTCCTTTCACTTCATCTTTCACCTTCTTATTCATACCTTCTTCTTCATCCAGCCTCTTGTTTAACTATTCAATATATTAATTCGCTATCTATACCTTTCACCTTGTCTTTAATATCTGATTTTCACCTTAATATCCCAACTGTGTCATCAGTCATTTAGGTTAACTTTTCCTATCTTTATTTTACCTACTGTATTTTCTCTATATTTTGGTAAACCTAATAAACCGCTAATATCTTTCACTTCATATTATTATCATTTCTATCCACTTTTAGGAAGCGTGTGTATTAAAATTGTCACTTAACCTTTAATTTTCTTAATTAATCTATACATAATTAACTTTTTATTTCTTTCGTTACTCTGTTCGCTTTGCCATCCATATTCATTTAACCATTCACTTTCTCATTTTTACATTGCCAGTTACCCATACCTTTTGCTTATTTTTCTTTTTAATCAAATTTACATTACTACACACCTTTCATTCAGCTTTTCGTTTTCAGTCTTTCATTATATTTTTACAATAATCTTCCTAGTGTTTCATTCAAACCTTTACGTGTTTCCATATTGTTCTACTCTTCGACTATACCTTCTATTTAACCTTTCATTTTTCCTTACTCCACCTAGCATTACAAGCATACATTTGCTTTAACTTTTCCTATCCTTATTCATGTTTTACCCCACCCAGCATTTTACCCAAACCTTTCTTTTTTCTCATTATTTAATTATTTTATCTTTCACTACTTGTATTTTACTTTTACCTCAATCTTTCACCATTTTCCCCACCGTTCATTTTACTTATTCTACCCAATGTGTCATCCATATATTTTATTAAATATTTAATTCCGTTATTTTTCCTTCTTTTATCCAGTCATCCAACCTTTCATTTGACCTTCCGATTTCTCATTTTTACATTGCTCTTACCATCCGTTCGCTTAACATTTCCTTTTTCTCAAACTTACATTACTACACATTGGGTGCCCAACACCTTTCACTCAACCTGTCGTTTTCTATTTTCCTTACCCTGAAAACACGTAATGTTTCATCGTTCCGTTTTTTATATTAATTTTCCTAGTATTTCATTCAAACCCTTCACTTTTTCTTCACGTTCCTCTCCTAGTTTTGTCAAACATACTTTTTATTATATCTTTTATAATAATACATGCAATACATGCACACTTTCAATTTAACTTCTTTTTTCTTTACCCTACCCAGTGTTTTACCTACACCTTTCTTTTTTCTCATTCTTACATTACTTTACCTTTACGTTCATTTTCTTTTACCTCAATATTTCACCTTTTCCTTCACCTTCCATTTTCCTTTTTCTCACTTTAACTAAATATTTCAATTCATTATTTTTCCATCTTTTATCCAGTCATCCATACCTTTCATTTAACCTTTCTTATCCTCATTTTTACTTCATTCTGTCTAGTCTTGTCATCCTAACCTTTCGTTTTTGACTAGTATGTCTGCCTTACTTACACAATTCATCTACATATTTTTACTTAAGTGCCCAGTGTGTTAGCCACACCTTTCCCTTAACCTTCCATGCTACTTTGTTGTTTACATTACTCAAGCTAATGTGTCATTCACACATATATTTTTTTTGTTTTTTTCTGTTTATTATTTGTTTCCTTCTGCCTAACCCCATCATGTTTTATTTAACCTTATATTTCATTACTCAACAAACAGCGCCATCGGTAGTTTACGTGTGAATTTCCTTTTTATTTTTGGATTTTGTTTATTTTTAAGCTCACTGTATTGTACACATATATCATTTACTCTTTCATTTACTCGTATTTTAACGTTGTTCTACCCAGTGTGCCATCCATTCACTTTCGTGTTTGTTTTCTACAGTGTCATTCATACCTTTTATTTAACCCTTCATTTTCACTTTTTTTCCATATATATCTTTAATTTAAGCTTTTAGTTTTTTCTTGCGTTACCTATTCCGTTCACTCAATCTTCCATTTTAATATTTGTACCTTATTTCATGCAGTCTCTCTTCCCTGTCATTCATACCTTTCGTATTTTAATTTTACATTACTTAGTATGCTACTAAAATTTATTACTTAACTTTATATCCCTCCAGTGTTTCATCCATACCTCTCCCTTAATTTTCAGTTTGCTTAGTTTTGCATTTCTTTAACCAATGTGTCTGCTGTACCTGGCATTTAACCTTTCATTTACGGATCATTTCCCTAGTCTACCGAGAGTTACCCACTGTGTTTACATAACTTTATTATTTATTATATTACATTATCTAACCAGTGTGTGACCAATTGCAATAAATATATCACCCACACCTTTTACTTCACGTTTCATGTAATTTCTACTCATAACATCATCCACCCTTTTCACTCAACCTTTCACCTTCTTATTCATACCTTCTTTTTCAACAATCCCTTTGTTGAACTTTTCAATGTATTCGCTATCCATACCTTTCACCAAACCTTTAATATCTGATTTTCACTTTAATATCTCAACTCTGTCATCAGTCGTTTAGCTGAAAATGTCCTCTCTATATTTAAAATTATTCGTCACATTAATAGTTTTAATTCTAATATATCCATACAATAACCTTTTATTTATTTCTTTATTCTGTTCATTTTGCCATCCATACCATCTATACTTTTCATTAAACCTTTTCATTTTCTCATTTTTACATTGCTCTAACCAGCCAGTTATCCACACCGTTTGTTTAAGCTTTCATTTTAATCAAATTTACATTAATACATATGTCACCAACACCTTTCATTCAGCCTTTCGTTTACAGTCTTTCATCATATTTTGATAATATCTTAATATTGTTTAATTGAAATCTTTATTTTTTTTCCATATTGTTCTACTCGTCGACTATAAACTTTAATTTCTCTTTACGCTGCCCAGTATTGCATGCATACATCTAACTTTGCATTTTCTTATTTATTCTTTACTGATTTACCCAAACCTTACTTTTTTCTCATTACTACAGTATTTTACCTTTCACCAACTTAATTTTCATTTTACTTCAGTCTTTCACCTTTCATTTTCCATATTCTACCCAATGTGTTATCCATACCTGTAACTGTACATTTAATTCAATTATAATTCCTTCTTTTATCCACTCTCATCCATACGTTTCATTTGATCTTTCATATTCTCATTTTTACTTCATTCTATGCAGTTATGTCAGCCATACCTTTCACTTCACCTTCCATTTTCTTAATTCTACATTTCTTTAAATAGTATGTCAGCCATACATGTCTTTAAACTATTCATCTACTTATTTTTTTTTATTTGTTTTTTACTTTACGCTACCCAGTGTGTTAGCTATAACTTTTACTTAACCTTCTATACCATTTTGTTTTTACATTACTCTAGCCAGTGTGTCGACCACAAGTGTTTTTTTTTTTTTATCGCATTCTGCTAATTGCTATATTCATTCCTTTACCTAATCTCTCATTTTCTTATCAATACCTTTCATTACCCTTTATTCCATCCACACCTTTCATTTAACTTCTCATTTTACTTATTTTACGTTACTTTATCCACTTTGTCATCCATACCTTCCACTTAGCCTTTTCATTAACTCTACCCAGTACATTATTGATACTTTTGAATTCACCTTTCGTTTCCTCAATATCATCCGTGCTTTTCATGTAACCTTTCATCTTATTTTTACATTATTCTTCCTAGAGTTTTATCCATATATTTTATTTTACTTTTCTTTCGTTTTTTACATTACCCTGCTCAGTGTATCAATCATACATTTCATTTAACTTTTCATTTTCCTTACTCTTCCTAACATAACACGCACATTTTGATTTAACCTTTTTTTATTCTTTATTTTACCCAGTGTTTCCTCCCTACCTTTCACTTATTTAATTTTGTTGTTTTTACCTTTCACCTCTCCCATTTTCTTTTTCCTTATTCTACCCAGTCTATCACGCATACCTTTCACCGTTTTCTTTATCCTGTCCAGTATGTCAACCTTTCATTTTCATCCATACCTTTCACAAAACCTTCCATTTTTTTATTTTTCCTTACTCTATACACTCTCACCCAGACTTTTCACTAGACCTTTCAAATTCTCATTTTTACTTTACTCAGTAGCTTTTCTTTATTTATTTATTTCTATCTATCTTTCTTTCATTCTTTCTTTCTTTACTCTATCTAATTTGTCAATTTGTTATTTTTTTAAGTATACCTTACTCTAGCTCGTGTTTACAACTATACCTTTACCCTGCTTTTCTTACTCTGTTCAGTGTGTCATCCAATTCATTCATACCTTTCATTCAATCTTTAATTTTCTTATTTCTAATTTGCTCTATCCTGTATGTTGTTCATATTTTGTATTAATCTCACATGACTCTACACACTTTGTCATGAATACTTTTCACTTAGCCTATCGTTTTCCTTTATTTGCCTTACTCTGTCCAGAGTGTCACTTATGCCTTCCATGTACCCTTTTACCATGTCATGTTTACATTACTCTCCCTAGTCTTTCATTCAAACCTTTTACTTAACTTTTTTTTTCATTTCTACATTATCCTACTCACTCTGTCAATCATACCTTTCATTTAAGCTTTCATTTTTGCCTTACTCTGTCTAGCAAGACATGTTAGTGTTTAGTTTAACTTCTCATTTTCTTATTAATACCATTCATTTGTTTCATCCATACCTTTCATTTAACCAATCATTTTTTTTCTTATTTTACGTTACTTTCCATTAATACTTTCATTTCCGTACAGTGGCTTAGTCTGCCCAGTGTATCGTCTAGAACTTTCACTTATCTTTATATTATTCTACCTTTCACCCTTCCAATGTACTTTTTCCTTATTCTACCGAATCTATCACTCTTCCTTTCACCCTTTTTTCTCCATTCCTCCCAGTATGTCCTTTCATTTTCATCCATACCTTTCACTAATCCTTCCATTACTTATATTTCCTTACTCTATCCACTGCCATCACTTGTCCTTCCATATTCTCATTTTTACTTTCTTCTTTACTCTGTCTAGTTTATCATCCGTGCAGTTTAACATTTATTTCATCAGTATATCAGCCACACCTCTCATTTGACCATTCATTTGTTAATTTTAACCTTTCTCTATCTAGTGTCATCCATACTTTTTTTTTTTCTTTTTCTTTTTTTACATTACCCTGACCAGTGTCGTCACTTTGCAATTAACCTTTCATTTTCTCTTTTACCCTTTCTCTATTCAACGTCATCCTTTAACGTAACCTTTCATTTTCTTTATATATCTTGTAACCTGTACTTTACCTTTACCTTTCGTTTAACCTATCGTTATCCTAATTTTACGTCAATCTATCCAGCTTGTCATCCACACCTGTCACTTGACCTTTCATCTTATTTTCAAATTGATTTCCCTTCTGCATCATCGGTACCTTCACCTTAACCTTTGATTTCCTTTTTCATAATATATTCTACCCAGTGTATCATTTAAAACTTTCACTTAACATTCATTCTCTTCATCCTGCCTTATTTTTACATTGATTTCCCTTCCGTATCATCCCCACATTCACCTTAACCCTTTATTTCCTTATTTATACTATATTCTACCCACATTATCATTTAAAACTTTCACTTAACATTTATTCTCTAATCTTTACTTTGTTATACCCTGTATATTATTGATACCTTTCACCTATGCTTTCGTTTTCTCATTCATACCAGTGTACCTTTAAAAACATTCACTTAACCTTTCATTTTCTTATTTATACCTTGCTCTAGCTAATGTTTCACCCATACCTTAACTTTTTTTTTCTTACTCTGGCCAGTGTCATCAGTATCACGCATGCCTTTCATTTAATCATTCATTCTCTTGTTTTTATTTTATATCCTGTGTTATTCATACCTTTTTTTTTCATACCTTATTTTTTTTTTATAATTTTACATGACCATATATTGTGTCATCAGTACCTTTCACTCATACTTTCGTTTTCATATATTCTGCCATGTAGCTTTTTACCATCTCATTTTTACATTACTCTTCTTAGTGTTTCATTCAAACCTTTAATTTTATTTATTCATTTTTACTCTACTCGCTGAGTCAAACATACCTTTCATTTAAGCTTTCATTTTGTCTTACTCTGCCATGTAAACATTTAGTTTCACTTTTCATTATCTTATTGAATTGTTTTACCCAGTGTTTCATCCCTACCTTTCACCCAACTTATCATTTTCTCATTTATACATTATTCTACCTTTTACACCTTCACCCTTTCATTTTGTTTCTTTTTCTTATTTTGCCGAGTGTATTATCCATAGCTTTCACTCTTCCTCTTATACTGTCTAGTATATCAGTCTTCTGTTTCCTTATTCTACCAACTGTGTATTCATCAGTGCCTTTCAATCACCTTTCACTTTCATTCTTTTCTCACTCTACCCACTGTTATCCATACCTTTCACTTGACCTTTCATATTTTTTATTTTTGCTGTATTCAGTATGTCACCAATACCTTTTTTCTTTTTTTTTCTTTTTTTCTCTTTTTCATTTATTTTGTCTAGTTTGTCTTCAGTTCCTTTCAATCAACCTTTGATTTTCGTAATTTCTCGTTTCTTTAACCAGTGTGTCAGCAATTCCTTTCATTTGATCATTTGCTGAAATTTCCCTTATTCTACCCAGTGTTATCCATCCCCCGTGCTTAACCTCCCATATTACTTTTATGTTTTCTTCTTATCCAGACCTTTCACTAAACTTTTCATTTTCATCCATACCTTTCACTAAGCCTTTCCTTTTTATCCAGACCTTTCAGTAAACTTTTCATTTTCGTCCATACCTTTCACAAAGCCTTTTCCTTTTTTTATCTAGACCTTGCAGTAAAGCTTCCATTTCATATTTTTCCTTACTCTTTCCACTGACATTCATACATTTTACTTGACCTTTCATATATTCATTTTTACTTTACTCTATATGTCACCAGTAGTTTTCTTCCCCATTATTCTACCTAGTTTATCATCCGTACTTTTCACTTAACCTTTAATTCTCTAAGTTCTCCATTTATTCAACCACTATGTCAGCCACACACCTTTCATTCTACTTAGTGTGTCAACCATAACTTTTTTTTGCATTACTGTCACACACACCTTGCAATTGACTTTTCATTTTCTTTTCTCTTTCCTTTATTCAGTACCTCATTCTGTCACTCAACCTTTCATCTTTTTATGTATATCTTTTAACCTGCACTTCACCTATACCTTTCATTTATCTTAATTTTACATCACTCTATCCTGGTTGTCATCTACACCTGTCACCTGACCTTCCATATTCTTATTTTTACATTAATTTCCCTTCTGTATCATCGGTACCTTCACCTTAACCTTTAATTTCCTTATTTATACCATATTCTACCCAAATCATCATTCAAAACTTTCACTTAACATTCACATTCTTTTATCTTTACTTTGTTATACCCTATATGATATTGAAACCTTTCATTCAACTTTCCATTTTCATTTACTTTACTCTATTCATGATATCCATGTAGCTTTTCACCATCTCATTTTTACATTACTCTTCCCTGTGTTTGATTCAAACCTCTTATTTAACTTTTTTCCTTTTTTTTTACATTACTCTACTCGCTGTATCAACCATACCTTTTACTGAAGCTTTCATTTTGCCTTACTTTGCCTAGCATGATATGTACACTTTTAATGTAACTTTTAATTTACTTAATAATTACTTGCTATACCCAGTGTTTCATCCTATCTCTCAACCAACCTTTCATTTTCTCATACATTATGTTACCTTTTACCCCTTTTACTTACTTATTCTACCCAATGTGTATTCCGTACTTTTCACTAACCTTTCGTTTTCTCCTTTTTCCTTACTCTATCCACTGCTATCCATACCTTTCACTCGACTTTTCATAATCTTATATCCACTGTTATCCATACCTTTCACATGTTTTTTCATATTCTTCTATCTACTGTTATCCATACCTTTCACTTGACTTTTCATATTCTTTTATCCACTGTTATTCATACCTTTCACATGACTTTACATATTCTTTTACCCACTGTTATCCATACCTTTTACTTGACTTTTCATATTCTTATTAATACTTTACTTAGTATTTCACCAGTAGCCAGTGTCATCCATATTTTATGCTTAACCTTTCATACCATTCTTTCTTTTACACTACTCTGGCCGTTGTGTTGTATGTAAACTTTCATTTTTTGTTTCCCCGCTTCTTCTTTTAAGTGCATCATCCATACCTTATACTTAACATTTAATTTTTAATTGTAACATTCATGCCTTTCCTTTTATATATATATATATATATATATATATATATATATATATATATATATATATATATATATATATATATATATATATATATATATATATATATATATATATATATATATATATATATATATATATATATATATATATATATATATATATATATATATATATATATATATATATATATATATATATATATATATATATATATATATATATATATATATATATATATATATATATATATATATATATATATATATATATATATATATATATATATATATATATATATATATATATATATATATATATATATATATATATATATATATATATATATATATATTTTTTTTACATTACTTAACCAGTTGTGTTTCCCATACCTTCAGATTTAATGCATCACTATTCCCATTTAAACCCTTAATTCTGTTATTTTCTCCTTTCCTCTTACTCTATATTGTCTAACATCCGTACTTTTTACCTAACTTCTCGTTTTCGAAATTTTGAATTACTATTAGAAATAATTCTCTACCAAGTGCTTGTTTTGTATCTTTCACTTTAGTTGTCATTAACTTTTCTTTTCCTTTCCCTTTTTAAAATACATCACACATATCTGTCCCTATCCATATTTTATTCTACCCAGTATGTTATCTATATCTTTCACTCAGCTTTTCATTTTATCGTTTGTACGTTACCTTACTTTTCACCATCCTTTCATCTTCATCTTTTTCCTTATTCTACCTATTGTGTTATCCATACCTTTCACATGTTTTTTCATATTCTTCTATCTACTGTTATCCATACCTTTCACTTGACTTTTCATATTCTTTTATCCACTGTTATCCATACCTTTCACATGATTTTTCATATTCATTTATCCACTGTTATCCATACCTTTCACATGATTTTTCATATTCTTCTATCTACTGTTATCCATACCTTTTACTTGACTTTTCATATTCTTATTATTACTTTACTTAGTATGTCACCAGTAGCCAGTGTCATCCATATTTTATGCTTAACCTTTCATACCATTCTTTCTTTTACACTACTCTGGCCGTTGTGTTGTATGTAAACTTTCATTTTTTGTTTCCCCGCTTCTTCTTTTAAGTGCATCATCCATACCTTTCACTTAACCTTTAATTTTTAATTGTAACATTCATGCTTTTCCTTTTAGATATATATATTTTTTTTACATTACTTAATCAGTTGTGTTTCCCATACCTTCAGATTTAATGCATCACTATTCCCATTTAAACCCTTAATAGTGTTATTTTCTCCTTTCCTCTTACTCTACATAGTCTAACATCCGTACTTTTTACCTAACTTCTCGTTTTCCAAATTTTGAATTACTATTAGAAATAATTCTCTACCAAGTGCTTATTTTGTATCTTTCACTTAAGTTGTCATTAACTTTTCTTTTCCTTTCCCTTTTTAAAATACATCACACATATCTCTCCCTATCCATACTTTATTCTACCCAGTATGTTATCTATATCTTTCACTCAGATTTTCATTTTCATCTTTTTCCCTTAAAATCTACTGCGTCATCCATACTCAACCTTTCTTTTTTTTTTTCTTTTTTTTTCAATTTTTCGTACTCTACAAAACTACTGTATGATTTTATGATCCTAATTTATGATCCTAACTGTGTATCAACCACACAGTTAATAAACTTTACTTATTTCTATATCACTAATCATTCAGTCACCACTTTTTTTTTTTTTTTTACCTTTAGTTTCTTATAATTTTATTAATTTACTTAATCTGTCTTCCATACCCTTAACGCAACCTTCTATTATTCTAATTTTATTTTCGTATTATATTACCTATGGTAACTGCATTTCATTTAAGATTCTATTTCCTTATCTATTTTTTTTTCCCGACTCTTACATAATGTTAATTATGTTAATCATTCATGCCTCTCATTTAACCATTCATTCTCTGGTTTTACTTACTTTGCATTGTGTGACATACATACTTTTACATTTTATTCACTTTTATATATTCTTCATTCTACCCAGTGTTTCATCCATATCTTTCACTCAGCGTTTCATTTTATCGTTTGTACGTTACCTTACTTTTCACCATCCTTTCATCTTCATCTTTTTCCTTATTCTACCTATTGTGTTATCCATACCTTTCCCTTAACCTTTCATATTCTCTCTCCTTTCCTTATTCTAACGATAGTGGTATCCATACCCTTTACTTTTTTGTGTGTGACACTCATACTTTACACTTTCCTTCTTACTCTACCCAGCAAGTCATCTTTACTTTTAATTGAACCTCATTTTTGCATTCCCGTACCGAGTGCATCATCCACACCTTTCATGGAACTTTTTATTATTTCCGTTTTACATTACTCTATCCCGTGTTTCATCCGTATCGTCCACTTGACCTTTCATTTTCTCATTTATACATTTTACCCCTTTCATTTTCTTAATGTTGCCTATTCCACTTTCACATTTTTCCTTGCTTTGCGTACTGTGTCATCCATACCTTTTTATTCAACCTTTCATTGTGTCAATAATACCTTTTACTACAGTTTTCCTTTTCTAAATCTACCCAGCTTAACACATTCTTTTCATTAAACATTCATTAAACATTTAATATTCTTATTTATACTTTAATGTACCCAGTGTTCCATCCAAACATTCACTTAACCTTTTATTTTCTCGATTTTACACTAGTTAACCTTTCATCCCTTTCATTTTCTTCTTTTTTCCTCGTTTTGTTATCCATACCTTTCGTTTGACCTTTCAGTTTTTCTCTTATTTATCACTAGTCTACTGATAGTGCCACCCATACCTTTCACATAATATTAGAGTTTCCTTTTTTTCCTGTGACATCTATACTTTCACTTCTTGCTAAACCCCCTAATTTATCTTTACTTTTCATTTAACTTTATTTTTGCATTCCCATGTCCATTCCATCATCCATGCCTTTCATGTAACCGTTTATTATTTCATTTTTTTTTTACATTTTTACCCATTGTTTCATCCGTACCTTTTATTCAGTTTCTCATTTTCGCATTTATGTAATACCCTTTCCATGCAATCATACCATTCACGTAACCTTTCTAAGTTATTCATTACTCTACTCATTGTTTATAAAAAATACCTTTCATTTCATCTTTCGTTTCCCCATTTTCATCTTACTCTTCCTTTCACCCCTTTCATTTTTCTCCATATTTTACCTAGTGGTTGATCGATAACTTTCCCTTTACCAACTTTATACAATATATCAGCTTTTCATTTTCCTTATGCTACCCAATGTGTATTCCGTGCCTTTCACAAACCTTTCACTTTCTTATTTTTTCCCTTCTCTATCCACTGCCATGCATGCCTTTCACTGGACCTTTCATATTCTCATTTTTACTTTACTCAGTCACCAGTAGCTTTTATTTTGTTCATTACTAGCTAGTCTGTCATTCATTCCTTTCACTTTTTCTTTTTTATTAAGTTTAACATTATTACCAGGGTGCCATCCATACATTTTACTTAAACTTCCATATCACTTAATAATTTACATTATTACTTTAGCCAGTAAGTCGCCCTTGTAATTAACTTTTTTTTCCTTTAGTGTACTCAGGCTGTTATTCATACCTTATATTTGACCCTTCCTCTTATTTCTATCTTTGTTTGTTTCGTGTCTTTTATCCAATCTTTTGTTTAATTTACATTACTCTACCACGCTTGCCTTCAACCTTAACCTTTCATTTCCTTATATCCTTTACCTGTGCATCATTTATTTTCACTTAAAACCATGCATTCTCTTATCTATCATTTACTATACCCAATGAATCGTTAATATCTTTCACCTAACTTTTCATTTCCTCATTCATACCTTAATCCATCCATATACTTTTAAAAACGTTCACTTAACCTTTTATTTTATTTAGTTTTGCCTTTCTCTACCCATACCTTTCATTTTCCTATCTTTTTTTTTCCTTTCATTCTCTTCTTTCCTTGATAAGTGTCATTCATACTTCACTTGACCTTTCGTTGTTTTATTTTCATTGTGTCACCTATACCTTTCGGTTCACCATTATTTTTTTTCCCTTATTCTACTCATGATCACATCAGCTATACCTTTCACTAAATATTTCGTTTTCTCATTTTTACATTACTCTACTGCCTTTATCACCTATACCTTACATTTATACTTTGTAATTAAGCTTTCGGTTCATATCTCATTTTCTTTCTTTCTTTTTTTTCTGCTCACAATCATATCAGATATACCTTTCACTAAACCTTTCGTTTTATCATTTTTACATTACTTAATCCTTACTTTTGATTATTGCATCACTATTGCCATTGTAGCTCCATATACCTTTTATTTTTTCCTTTTCTCTTTTACTTAATCTCCTGTTTTCTAAATCTTACACTACTTTTCCTAAAATTACTCTATAGACGATTTTATCTGTATCTTCCACTTTAGCTTTCATTAACTTTACGTTTGTCAATACACTACACATACCTTTTACTTTGACTCTCCTGATGTATAGCTTATCCTACTAACTTTTTCATCTATACCTTTCATTAAACCTTTCATTAAACTTTTCATTAAACCTTTCATCTTTTCTCTTTTTCCCTAATCTTATCCTGTGACATCCATACTCAACCTCCTATTTTCCTTACTCTACAATACTCAACCCAATGTGTCGTCTATACTGTACATTTAACCCTTCATTTCCCTAAAACATTCATTTTCCCTTCTTGCTCTACCCAATAAGTCATCCATATATATATTTCTACATTACTCTGCCAGTGTGTTATCCATCATTTACACTTAAAATTTAGTATAACATTACCCATTCTGCCTTCCATGTCTTCAATAAACCTTTCATTTTCTCATTTTTATGTTTCTCAATCATTGGTGCCATCCATATATTTCACTTAGCTTTTAATTTTCTTTATCTACAATGCTGAAACTAATTGCATCAACTGTACCTTTCCTTATCTTTTTTTATCAACATACATCATCTGTACCTTTCGTTTAACCTTTCATTTTCATTCTTACGTTACTCTACACTTGCC